AGTAAAAGTAAAAAGTATAGTGATTTAAAACTACTCCTAGAAGTATATTTTTTTCAAAAACTTACTCAAGTAAATGTAACGGAGTAAATGTAACTCGTTACTACCCACCTCTGTTACCAACCAAATACCAAACACAATTTTGAGGCTGGTAAAAAGATAGAAGCAACATATACACAAACATACTCATAATATTAGCAAAATGCTAGCTAACTCACTAGTTAATTTACATCAATTGTTAGTTAGCTAGTTAGCTAACGTTTTGCTAACATTAGTTATGACTGTGACTATAGACTATACGTTGTTTTTATCTTTTAACCATCTTTAAAATGTGGTTGTTTTTTCAACAAAGATTAGCACTTAGCATATCTAAGTACAGGAAAGGAGAAAGTAGACCAAGGGTCTTACAGAGGCTTGCCCAAAATGGAGCGGGACTTAGGAAGAGTCCACAGTAACATGTTTTAATAATTATTTTTGACAAACAGAGCGATATATTCTTTCTTCCCCCCACCCCTGAACATTTGCTGTAGTTTTAACTGAGCTTTGGTATCTCCTCGTGTAGCTTCCTTTTCTTTGTTGTGTCTTGTTGTCCTTCACAACCGCTGACTGAAAAAAGAATCTCAAAAGAACAGCACAACATTTATTTAATGTCATGGTAACGCTGACTAATTCTGATCTGACTGTATATGTAGGCATCATGGAGGTCAAATGACACTTTTTTAACATAGAGTGGGGGGGAGTCTCAGGGGATTTCACACAGGATGATGTGGTTTTATGGTATGTGCCTTGGCACTCAAACTGTCCCCACGTGCATTTTTTTTTCATAGAAATATCAGTGTCACATAACTTAATGTTATGTAGTACACAATGAAGATAAAAGCCCTGTCTGTTTGAACTGTACCTGTGTGCATGCATTGTGGGGTTGAAATTAGAGCTAAACTGTGTGTTATATGAGAGGACCATAACGGTGAATAGAGCACATTTTAGCCCATTTTTACAAGATTGTGTAGAGTATATATAGCACATTATTATCATGCCACTTTTTTTTTGGGGGGGGGGGGGTAATTTTTCAAAATTTTATATCAATCTTTTACTTAACTTTCACTTCACTATAATACACACAACTGAGAGCCTAAAAATTATTAAAGATGGTTTACATGTTGTGTTTTTTCTTTTTTTTAAAACTGACCTCTGACCTTCAGAATAAAAGTGGTCGTAGATCGAGTAACCATTAGCCAATCAGAGAGTATAAATTAGACTCTGTCCTACTTGATAGTTAATGCATCATTTATATGTGAGGCTGGGGGATGCTGTTACTCACTTGTTTTCAGTCTATACAGCAGATAGGAGTGGGTATTTTACTGTCTTTCTAACCAGTTTGTACTGAGCTGGTATAAGCAAATACAGCATAACATTAAAAAATTTGTTTTAAAGAATGAAGAAGATGCATGTTTTGGGAGCCTTCTTTCAGCATTTCCTCCAAACTGTGTGCTCAGCATATCACAGTTTATTATCCTTTTACTCAAACTGGGTCTGTGTGCACAGATTTTCTTGCCAGTGGACCCCAAATGATGAGTTGTGGATAACATCAGAAAAGTCTCATAGTTTATAAGGAATGTTGCAGGTTCCAGCAATGTTCTCCTCATGTTGAATAAATAAACACTGGTTTAATGCTCGTGTTTTGCATGGGTTTTTAACTGAAAAAGGGCTATTGTTAATTTTTTCAGCTCTCAGACGGTGGTTGTTTCCACTGTACATTTAAAGGAAAGACATGGACGCTGTCTGTTGTTTTTGAAGGTCTTTGTCTTTGTGTCTCTATACTGTTGTTTGGTCAGAGCATGGAAGTAATTAGTTGTTCTTCTACCAAAAGAAAGGAAAAGGAATAAAAACCCACAGGCTTTCGAGCGTAATTAGAGCCACATGGTTGGGTTTCAGATCTGATTCTGCATGATCGTATACATGAAGCAGCAACTTGTGTAACCTGTTATTAACTGCAGCTTACTGCGCACAGAACCTCTCAGCTGGAATTTAACTCATATGGAATACAAATCAACTTGTATAAGAGGAAGCATAGTGACGAGATTGCTGTTTAGAGAGCCAAGTAACAGCCAGACTTTCAGTGCTGCCTCTCAGGACTCTGCTGTTCAGTGGAAGAAAGTTATAAGGTTTCCTACTTGACTTTTCTTCTCTCTTTTTTCTTTTAAATTCAGGTGGTGCGCAGGACCCTGGCTACGATCCTCAGGGTACGTTTTTATTCTCATAATTTTCTATTCCACTGTATATAAAAATACAATATATCATTTTGCCATTATCACATCAGAATGTCAATCCAATATTATACCTGCAAAATGACAACATTCCCATCAACATCAACATAAGACGTTTATACCTGCTAAACTTCATTCTAGCATCAGTACTTAGGTAAAAGAATAAGTGGTTCCTGGGCTACTTTTGTATTATCCAATGATGGCTACTCGAGATTACCAATAAGTCATAAAAATTATAAATATAAACCATCATGTTCCGAACATACACATTGCAAACAACGAAAAAGAACGAACATTAGCATTGTGGAACGTAAAAAAAAGTAGCTTTTTGCAAAATAAAAATTACACAGCCAGCACCAGGTTAAGGCACAATGGGGAAACAATAATACAATAATATCTGTTAATATAGAACAGTAAGTTGTATGTAATTCATGATTGAAGTTTTATAATTGTGCTGGAATAGTTATGTTTTCATGGTCACTGCCATAAAACCCTTTGCCAACAGGATGGGTCTAACAAAAAGATGTTATTGTTTCCTTTATGGGAAATGTAGCATCTGGTGTTTTTGCAGCTTGACCAAAACTAGAAACTAAATGTCTAATGTCTAAATGCAAATCAGGAGATTTTATGGCACTTTATGGAAGTGCAATAGTGAAGTGCTGCAGTAACCCTTTAATCAAGTGTATGTGCAGTTCTCCAGTCATTGGTACTCGACACGGATATTGATTAGCCGCACAAAATTGATCATCTTCTATATGTATGTATCTTTAAAATTCTTTTAAATATCTGACCATGATGGACATTGTGGATTGATTTGTGTCTGTATTCCTTACAGGTGGTGCTGATCAGCCTCAAGGTAAATCTAATCTTTATGTACTTCCTGTCTTTGTCTCCATGCTCTGTCAATGTCACTGTAGATATTGCTATGTCTTCCTGCAGAACTGATCTGCCCTTGAGCTTTTGTTGGGAGTTTTCCTGTTTTACATCTCTGAGGAAGTTGTGTTGATTTAGTTTGTTGCTGAACCAATGTTGGTGGTGTTTTCTACTTCCCGTCGTCGCATATTGATTTGTCGTTATTCTGGTGGCTTTGAAAGCAGCTCATTACCTTGTTGTTCATTCTTATCATTTTGACATTTGGAGTTGTCAGCTGGATTTAAATGTTGATCAGGTTAGCTTCGGTCCACTAGATTGAACGGGTGTCTCTGAGGATTAATTGGCTTTAGTTTCGGACTGGTGTATTCTTCACATTGGTACCCCTGGTCTGGTATCTTTTGCTAAAACCCTGCTACGATTGTGTGTCGTTGCAGATCCAGACCTTCTGTGGGGCCAAATCCTGAAGATGCTAAATGCTAACATGCCAGAGGAATTCTATATGTGGATTTCCAACATAAAGCAAACCATTACACCTCTGTTAGAGAGGGCCATGGACCTGCTGCAAGCTTTTCCATGAAGCATCAGTCCATTAAGTTCTGATTAGCTGACAGGTCTGAGGTTGTGCGCAGTGTGTTTACAAAGTGTGTTTCGTTCAATGTCTGACTCGGTTTTGAAAGAAATATATTGTAAGGGTGTTCAGACAGGAATCTCGTTTCCTGGATGATCATTAGGATACATTTTTATTGTTTTTTTAAAGTTGTTTTAAACGATTTTGTTGCAGTGCAGCTCTAAACTCTGAGCACTCAGAGTGCATTTCCTGTGCCCTTTGACCTCTTTGGACATTCTCAGCCGCATGTCTGTGCTTGAGCTCTGTGTGATTGGTGTAAACTGTATCGAACCACCTATGGCAGTAATTGTTAGGGTTGAGTGAGTACTCAGCTGAAACGAGTATCCGATACAGATAAGTGCCAGATAAGAAAAATGTGTCAATATCTGTACTGCAACTTTAAAGAAAATCTTTCTGTAAATAGTTATCTTACTCTTGTGGTCAAAATATTGGTCTGAAGTTCAATTTTGTAAATAGTTTTCTAATAAAGATAGCAACTTCTGATCAACCCATATTAATGTCAGGCTTAAATCGACAACTTCCAGTAGGTCCAGCCCACTTTTGGTTTAAGCACCTCCCACACCTGCCCATTCCGAGTACGGATAAGAATACACATAATTTAGTTGGTTGAACAGATAAGAGTGTACTCGCTCATCCCTAGTAATTCCTTAGGAATTGGGGGGTACACGTCATCATCATCAACCCCTTTAATGTTCCCTCTGTGGCTACAGCCTTGGAACCACAGTTCTCAGAGTGTAAATGCTTGCATCACTGAACCACCCAGACAGTTAAAACTAGCAGAGCTGCAAGAAATAATATAGTGTTGACTTTAACCCTGTGATTCCAGACTTAACAGACATACTGTGTTTGGGTGTGTACATACATTCCCTTTTCTTTCACTCTCCACCCAGCTCTCCTGTTCATGAAGTGCCATGACTCATTCATATGTTGTTACAGCGTTAATGCTGCAGTGGAGTGAACTCATGTTACCTTTGTGTGAACCACGCAGAATGCAGCACACATTTATGAGTGTATCAGGTACTTTTCTGAAATAGAATTAATATGGCTCATGTTGGTTGCCTTGATGCTTCATTGTTATCTAGTATGTTATTTAGTGCTAAATAAGCTCATATGACAGGAAATGAAGTGTCTGATTTGATCAGTTAGTGCAGAGAGCGCTCTGACTGAAGATCTGAGCCGTACTTTAAGACTCCAAAACAATTATCTTGTAGTAACCTTGCTTCATTTGCAGAAAATAACATTGTCCCTGCATGGATCCTCCACAGTCAGCAGCAGTCTGCACACATTCTTAACATAGCCAGCATTCACAGCACTCTGCAAGCTTTTTATTTAGATTTTTGATCAGATGATGGTGTTTCCCTTTGGCACTTTTTATCCTATGACTAGTTCTTTGTGTACTCTTTGCTAAGTGGCGGGATATTTATTTTTGGTGGGTTCTTTGGAGTTAAGGCTTTTCTTTGGTTTGCCTCTTGTCTTTATGGAATTTGTAACATTGCTGATTTTAATGTAAGAACGTCATGAGACATGTAATGCTTAATGAATAAAGGAAACCTGTGGAATTGTCAGTTAGTTGACAATGTGTTTGATTTATCATTCATGAGAAGATGGAGAGCCAACCGACTCAGGGTCTGCCCCAGACCTTCAGGGGCCCCAGAGAGTCTCCCTGTTCGATTGACATGGTTTGTGGTAGTGAGCCATTTTACTCTTACCTTTTTTTACTCAGATTTTCTGCATATGGTGTTCTTTAGGAACAGTTTTCCTAAAATTAGTATTCATATATTGCCTTATGGACTGTATCGCAGTATACTTGTGATACATATCGTATTGCCATTAATTATTTAATGTATAATCTGGTACAGGGTGCAGCATCAAGCCAAATACTGCTCCACAGGTATCGTCGACATAACATGATTTATACCCAGAGAACAAAGACACATCTATTCATACGCAGATATGTGTGGTGCATTGAAAACCTGTCCCATACAGACAGAAAACCCGGACAACTTCAGTTTGTCATTAAAACCTGGTCCAGAACACATAAAGCACCACTGAAATGCCGATCCTAAAAATGATACGTGTTGGCTTGTAGTTAGGGGTTACAAAAAGAGTTAATAAATGTGTGTTCGATCAGGATAGGATTCAGGCCCTCGGGGTAAATCCGGCACTGAATCGTGATTGAAATAGAAGCAGACACTTCAGGTGTCCTGCATGTGTGGGAAAGATGGCGCACATGTTCAGCATTTTCCAGCAGTAAGTCATACTGTAGGCTGTTCCTCGGCTTCTTTTTCCTGTTTCTTGTGTCTTGGCGATGCCCTATTTTAATACACTGCGCCATCACAAGACACACCTCTCCCTCATGACTCACTGTGGTTTTAAAGTCTTGCCAGTCAACAGAAGAGTCAGGCTTATTATTCATGCCGCCAGTGTGTGTGTGTGTGTGTGTGTGTCATTCTCCCTTTGTGTGTGTGCTGCCTCGGTGCCCCACCCTGCCCTGGAGCTTTTAATCCCTTTTCTCTCTTTACTTCATTGTGTTGGTTTCACCACTGACTGTATCTCCATGTTTGACATTTACACTTTAAGTCTTTCTGTTGCTTATGTTGTGATTTTGTTTTTTTTAACTTTACTACACTTTAACTTCAGTTTTTCCTTACTGTAGGTTGGGGGAACTTTTTTGCCAGTGTAAATAGATTCTGGCTGTCACCAAAGGTTATTTACCGCCACCTTGTGGAAAAATTAGGTTATGACAGTTCACAGTTTAGGAACCATTGCCCTTATTTATCAACTATTTATCAAATAAATACACTTAAGAATGCTATTAACATTTGAAAATGTTTTAGAAAAAAAAAGTCTTTAAGGTAACAGCAGCAGTATATACCGATGAAGCTAGGAACCTGAAGATTCATTTAGGAAGCAGCTCAGCATTGTGTGTTAACTTTTTGTGGAACTAAACTACACAAATAGAATTAAATTACTGAAAATGTACTGAAATTGAAACAAAAGGATTGCTTTTCCTTTCGTTTCCATTTATCATGGAAGATGTTCTGCTGCTGGTAGAGGAGCTACATCAGAGAAATGGAAAGAACAAAATCAATTCTTACGGTTTGCACTGATGGCTGCAAACAAAACAAAACAAGTGATGTAGCATCCTACCAAATGTTTGTTTGTAGATAAAAAGCTCAGCTGCAAATAATGGGCTAAAACTTCCTTTCGGAATTATACATATTGCTTCAGAAAACATTTGTCCAAACTAATACTATTACAGGCCCAGAAAAGACTGATAGTTCTAGTTGAACATACACAAACTCTGGGCGCAGTCGGCTGTAACAGTGTGTTTGTTTGTTGTCCTACAGAAGCTGGATCCGGACAGATTGCAGGCATTGTCAGCGCTGTTGGAGTCGCTCTGTTAGGAGCAGCATCCAGTTACTTTGCTTACCAGAAGAAGAAGCTCTGCTTTAAGCTGCAGGGAGGTCAGTGTGCTTTTAGAATGCCAATATATAGACTTATAGTCGCATACAAAAGGAAGTATATTGCTGCTATCACAGGGGTCACACTGATGAAATGTTCTTTATTCAGGGGCAGATCCAGAGAGTGGTAAAGGCCACAGTGGTGCTCAGTCTGATCCTCAAGGTAGGTTTCTTTATTTATTCAAATGAATTGAAAAATCTATACTTACTGTAAAAAGAGTCTTACTGGTTGTCACAGGTGGGTGACAAACAAAAACCAACATATTGTATATTAAAGCTGCAGTAGGTAACGTGTATAAAAATAACTTTTTGTCATTATTGCTGAAATGTTCTGACAGTAGTACATGAGAGATAATCTGTGTAAGAATCTCTGGCTCGCTCTAGAGCTCCTGAGGGCATTTACAAGAATCCACCGGGCCTGAACTGAAAAATACCAAAACAATCAGAGCCAAGAAAGACATAAAGAACCCTGGGAATGAGTCCTAAGGGTCTGAAAGCATTTGTATTTGATGGCCTGGGAATGAGACTCAATAATCACCCATTTTTATTACCTCCGACTAGGAGGAACCAGATTTTTTCACAGATTATCTGTCGCATGTACTACTGCCAGGATATAGTGATAGTTTATAAAAATGACCTACTGCAGCTTTTGTAAATCCTCCAGAACAGCTTGAAAATAATACAAAAAAAAGCTTCAGAATCTCCCATAGGTGTTAAACTGGGTTGAGATCTGGTGACATGCATTTACTCCCTGCAACTGGATTTGTTACCCTGCAACTAGGTTTCAAAAAAGGCTAGTGATGGAAGACTTATTATTATTTAGTGAAAGTAGCAATTCTACAATGTAAAAATACTTCATGTACTTCAAGTAAAAGTCTTGCATTCAAAACATTCTCATTATGCAGACTGACCTGTCAGTGATGTATATTGTTAAATACAGGTGGTATGAATTACTGTAAGCAGTATTCTGTTGATATAGCTGGCGGAGCTGACCTGTATACTGTCCATAGGGTCTTAATCTGAATTAATTGGAATAGGTCAATAATCTGAATTTTAGGCCTTAAATTGTGTTAAATATGATTTTGGCCTATTCAACGGGTAGTAACAGACATGGAACCGATTTGGATTTTCCTTGATATCCTTCATACTTTTCCCCCCAGTATGGACGTGAAATAAGTCGTAATTGGCATTCATAATTGTCTTAAATTTATTGAATTAACTGTCATTTGTCTACAGAAACCCTGTACACTGTACGGATACATAACAGTGCATGATATTTAAGCTCTTCATATGTTTTGTGTGTAAAATCTTAATCTGCTGAGTAACTAACTACCGCTTTCAGATAGATATAGTGCAGAAAGAAGTACAGTGTTTCACTTGGAAATGTATTGACGTAGCCGTATGAAGCATAATGACAATAAAATCTTGAAACTTGTTTACAAAGTAACCAAATCTGAACGTGAGTCTAGCCTGACATCAAGTGGTCAACAGCAGGAAGTGAACAGACTGTCATTCGACAGGCTTGGCTTTGGGACTCTTTACCCCAGTCACTCTTTGCATGAATTCTTCTCTTCTTTCATATTTCAGTGTTCAGCAACCTGCTCAGGACGTCCTAGACACCCTCTGCACACGCACAAGACAAGTCAGTGGCCTTCTCTACAAAACTCCTCTTCGTTCAACCTTCAATCAAAACTTTCTCCATTTAATGTGTAAATACATCTTGATTTTCTGTTCACTAAACAAAACTCGATCCCCATCGTCGGTGGAGCTGCTTTCGTTACCTTACAGAGGATTTTTAGCAGATGGTGATTTTACACAGAGCTTGTTTATGTGCTGTGTCTGTGTGCAACTACTGTACACATGAATGCATTGTTTTCTTTTCCTAATACGTCTTTTAAACCTTAACACTCTAGTAACTGCAAAAGGGTGTGTTTAGTTTAACATAGGTGCTATGTGGGTAGGGTTTACGGCATCATGCAAGTCAAATCAGGTGTTTGTTACAGAAAAGATGTTCTGAATTAAAACCTTCTTGATTGTGGCAGACCCCCCTCCCCCAACTGGCATCTAAGAAGGATCGAACAAAGCTTTTGTATTTTTAACTGCTCAGAATGGATGTAGAGCATTTTCTTTAGCACCTTAAATCCTAAAGGGTTTGTTCACCCAAATCACAAAGAAAAGAACATGTATAGTATCTAGCCTTTGTTTTGTTCTTGTCTGTTTTTTTCTCTTTGTTTGTTGTGAACTAACCCTTTAATGCACACCTCATTATGCCTAAACCATATATTGTGAATTCTCAAACTCAAGCAGGTATTCAAATGACGACAAGGGGCGTGGCCAGCTTTAACAGCTAATTAAAGCCGGTAAAAACATTGAGCAGAGGTGGAATCACCTGTACCTCAGTGGCTCACATATGAAACTCGGCATGATGTGCATTTCCACAGCACTAATTCCATCAGTTCACTGTTAAGCTACCGTCAGAGAATCTTGAGACTTCCTGCAGATGTTTTAGAGTAAAAGCCTACCAGGAACAAGAGTTTGAGGCTTTGTCCTCTCAGCTGCTGGGAGGCTTTTAATGTGAAAGGTACGTCTATGGAAATGTAGAATTTAATTTGCGGCAGGTTAACAGCAACTTTAAGAAAAACTATAAAGTGTAAACTATTGAAAATATTAATGTGTGAGAACATTGTTTTAATTGGAGAAGACAAACTCAGAGCAACAGAATGGTGAGTATGAAATGTACAGGGTATTGAATTTACCAAGAAAACCTGTAAACACAGAGGTAGATTGATTACTTAAAAGGCATACTAGGTAGGATTTTCCAAAAATAAAAACAATGTATAGACCCATAAAAACATAATCCCTGTCAATCATCACCCACTGAAAGTGTGTATCTGCACAGACCCTGTAGCCCTCAGGGTCTGAGGTCGGAGTTCTATAAAAATGTAATGGCAGATTGCAGTTTCTGACTCTCTCCTCTGCTCTCCAGCGCTGGCACAGCACTGAAACGATTTGTGGAGATAGACACTATGAATGTATAAAGAGATGCGGTCTGTGTGTCTGTTTGACCGAGGGAAGGGCTGAGTCACCGCAGACAGTGCAGCTTTGGCACAAAATCCAGTAATGTGCACCTTATGCAGGATTGTGCAGAGGTGTAACTGCTGTGAAACAATATAAAAAAATATTATTATTAAATATTAATAATAATTATTTCTCGTCACTGCTTTGTTCTTAGTCCCTCACTCCCATTCACTGTCTACATTGTTTTACCATCGCTGCTCTCAGTTGAATTGGGAAGGAGAAGCAAACTTTAAAACACCAACAGAAAAATCCTGCATAGTATGCCTTTGAACATGGTTTTTACAGCATAATACAAATATGTTTCTAGTTGCATTGACATAATCATCACTTACTGGATCTAAATCCAGCAGAAAGAGCTTTTTAATATAAAATGCTGATTGTGATGCAGATGGAGGTTACACAAAGTAGAAACTAACTACATGTATACATCCACTAAGTGTGCACAACTTAGAGACGGGTCATTGTAAGTGAGATTGCTTATAGTCTTTTGTATCACATATAAAAACATAATATACAGTATAAAAATCTGCCTTTTGTTTTGTCGTCATGTTGGAGACTGATCCTAAGTCTGCACTGCAAAATTAATTTTTGTCTGTAATGTGAGTTAAATCTTATTTTCTTAAAGCTGCACCAATCAATGCAGCAGATATTTTCTCTCAGGAGAGATCTAAGTACAAGAATAATAAATATCATCCTCACATTCATCAGGTGTGGATTCTGCTGTGTCGGCTGGAAACCCTGTCTCCTAGAAATTACGTTTAATAAAACATACCACAATTTCCCCAAAACATAACCATACAAAAAATTATACAACTAAATAGAATTGCAAGATTATGGAAAATTAGATATGTTGTGACTGTTTTACTGATACGTTAAGTATCAACATTTTTGTGTTAATTAACAATTAATTAATTATGCTCATCGAAAACATTCAGTTGGCGTTGTTTCCCTCAAAATGTATTTGCTGTTGCGAATTAGTTCCATATAAACTTAATTTCTGGGAGACAGGGCTGCTTCTGGATGTGTACACAGGCAACTGTTTGCTAACATGTTAGCCATCCTTAGAAGGTGTTCCACCACCCCCTAGTGATAAAAAAGAATAAATAAACCTTTAAAACAATTGAAACGTGAAACAAGCAATATGATTTTTGTTGTATTTTTTCCACACCGACATTTTTTTGGCTCGTTTTAGGAAAATAAGATTTTTAGGAATTAACCGTAGACAGAAATGACATGATGAGATGGAGATGTATTGTATTTTATCAATTGTATTATTCAGCTTTGAAGCTCTTTTCGCTCCAAGGCCATGCTGATGCACTTTTCTTGGTGGTGATCTCTTCTGATCACCACCAAGTTCTCTGAAGTTTGTTATTCATGTCTGTTCGCCTGTGTGTCATCAGTTTGTTAGAATCACAAATGAGCACATAAAGTATCAGAAAAACTATTTTAGGTTAGAGAATTGTTATGATGCTGAAATATGAAAATGAGTTGCACCCTTGTGAGCTGTAAATACTGGAGAATGATGTGCATAGATGCCTGCTGACTTTTGCCTTAGGCTTGATGCTGCCATGTGCTTTGAGCATTTCATTATAAGCAACAGTGATCTGGATTTTTAGTGTATTTTTTTTAATTTTTTTATTTAAATGTGTCTCCGTTTTTCAAGCATAGACTTAATCCAGGTATATTACATCTAATGATTGGATCAATGCTCCTTCTGAGTGTGGATTTAAACGTGTTTTCAGTAAAGTGGTGTTGTACAGTTTACTTGCGTTTTGTCATTTTTTCATCAGCTGCATTATGATGACTCATTTCAGTTGAGGTTTAATTGCCGAGTCAGATATATTGTTACTTTCATTACAATGAAAATGTTTCATTGCTTTAATGCCTGGGTCTTCCACAGGGGGTCCTCAGCGTTACTGCAAGGGGAAGTGCCAAAAGTATTGTTTGATAATATTTTGAAGGTTTTTGTTATAAAACATTTTAATATAAATATGAAACCAACATATAATAAGCAAAGATACGTTTCACATGTAGGTTAAAAAATAAAACATGAATATATGAATCTGTCATTAATTATGATTTTCATTAAATTATTTTTGTATGCATGATAATGAGAGATGTTTAAACATGGCACTATAGGCTCAGTTTATTATGCAACATGGTTTTATACACTATATGCAGTAGGGGGTCCCTACTCCATCTCTGTATCAGGGTCCTTGGCATGAAACAGACTCCTGCTTTAATGTGTAACAAGAACCTGCCAAGAGACTGAGATGAAAATTTGCCTTTTGTTTGAATTTTTCACGTTTACATGATGTTGATGTTAATAAGCATCTCATTCTTAGAGGAAATTAGAGTAAAAAGTGGATTTTAGGGGGTTACAGTAGCATGGAATTGATGGAAAACGCCTCTGTGGAACGATACACTGACATGTGGAAAGCGACTGTAAAACATTGCATCAGGAGAGGGCCAGGAGGGCAGCTTGTGAAGGCTGAGCCTGTTGCACAACTCTTGGCAAACCTCACTTTCTACTAGTTGAACGACCAAGTTCAACAAACCGGACATGTGGGGCCTCGGCTCCACTCTTTACTCTGATAAAGATAAAAACAGAATGGGATGTGACTTCATCGTGCAGCGTCAGATTACTAATTCATCCTCTCAGTATTTAAGGTTCCGGTATCAGTTGGTGCAAAGATGCGACTGTCATCTGGGCCCTCGTGATCTCCTGGAAGCCTGTATGAGAGGCCTTCTGCGTCAAAATTAAGCAAAGTCACCATCGCCTTTGTGGATAAGTTATTGGATTTGCAGAAGGTTTAAGACATCAAGAATGTCAGGTAGGTGACTATGTCATATAAATGATATATATAAAATAAATGTTATCAAATTATACTCTATATAATTATTATACTATTGAGGAGTAAAAGTGCTGTTTGCTAGCTGACCTCCACACAGGTTAAGTGAGTTTATAGCTTCCCAAAATTGCCCAACAATTCCAGCTAAACGTCAGGAACAGAACTGTGATTCCCTCTGGTTGTTGAATTATAAAGAACCTGCAGTAGTGACCCAGTTTGACTTGAAATCAGAATAGACTCTGCGCCCCACACTCCACACTCAAACTGTGTGCCAATTGAAATTTAACACTACACGCAGCCCAGAAACTGCTGCAGACAAAAGGTTACATGCCTCTGCATCTAACTGCAGGCCAACGAAATGAGACTCGGACACGCCTGTCACGACCACACAGTTAATACTCCAAATGAAACTGCTTTTACCCTCGTGGTAAAACCGTAATGGAAATAAAAGCCTTTTGTGTGAAAATATTATAGAGTCTTACAGTGGGAAGTCATTTTTCAAAGAGCATAATTGGCTTGGTGTGTGTAGTTCAAGACACTTTGGTTAACACATGAAGGTTTGGACAAATGTGGGCTTTTGAAGGCTACTTCCATTATTAAGAGTTTTCTTAGAGGACTGGGAGTAAAATCAAATTCTGCATGACTGCATGAAAAATGACTTAAATGCATTAGGATTAAGTCATATAGATATTATATATTGATAGAAATCAACCCATTTTTCAGTCTGGATCAGTGCATTAGTGTCACATTCTACATAATTAACATGCTTAATTTCACTAAAACAGTGTTGTTATGGTTGCTGTTGAAGCTCTCATACAATAAATAAACCAGTGGTTGCCAAACTGGGAGCGGGACGGGTCCCTGTAGTGGAGTAAAAGTTCAATGGGCCGTTTGACTTGTGTATTTCTTTCCACTGTCTGAAAGAAGACAGCAAGTCCAAGTTATGGAAGCAATATAGCCCAAAATCTCTAAACTGACCAGAGCATGGGAAAAAAACACATTTTTGCCTCTAGTGTCTCACCATAACTGTTGCATGATTGGATGTATTTAGGTCTGAGCTTAAAACAGCAAATATGTCTGTGCCCACAAATATCCATGTTTTGTAACAAATAAAATGTATTTGGAAAAATGTCTGAAGATTTGGAAATAATATAATTTATTGATTTCTAATTCCACCTTTA